CATGCGATGGGCTTACCTATCTATGCCCATGTTGCAGAAGAGAATACTGCTGCAATTAACATGTTTAAATCTTTCAACTACACTTTTGTTCCAGGAAAGCATGCTATTAAAATCCTTGTTTTCAAAAGGGTCAGTTAAGAAAGCCATGTTGAAAACTATATTATCCATATCTGGTGATGTTTTCATTTCTTAATACTTTATCAACATAATTAAACACGTGAAGTAATTGTGCTACAGAAAAGGTCACATTTGCTGTATACAGTATAACGTTAGCAAGATGGTCTTCTATTCTGATTGATTAACAGCTATTAATGATGTGTATGGTCTATGGCTTTCACAGACATTTGACAAAGTTGTACAATGGTTATCGATTCTTATTGTTGTAGCTGAATAGGTCATAAAATGTATAATATTTGCTGCTCACATTTGGAAAATGCATTTCACAAAAAAATGATTTAATTCAAGCTGTTGTCCTACGATGTAGTGGGCTGAGAAACAGCTAAACATTGACGATCACAGGTTTTCTCTAATAACCCTTCTGTTTTATTTTAATAAATGAAAATCACTGTCCTATTTATTTTAGGAATTGCTGATTTCTTTTACTGTGGAATCCAGACACTAAAGACTTGATCTCCTTATTCGCATGTTCAGAATGAGAAGGCAGATGCCCAGCTGATATTGGCAGCAATGTTACAGGAAGGGAGAATTAGTCCTGGGTTGTATTCTTTTATTTAAGATGCAGGATATTACTCTTGTACATCTGTCAATGTGTCGCATATTGCTTATCATTACAGGGCTAACCCCTTTAGCTTGTTTATATATATTCAGATTTTATATATAGTAATAGATTTCTTTACTTTTATGCTATTATATATTTTTTATTCAAACAGTCTCTTCAGTATTGTCTCCTTTTTGTAACACAATGAATCCATTGTCCCTTAACTAAATTCCCGATTAAAAGAATAGGTTGGTTGTACTGTTCAATATGTCTGATGTTCCTCAACTCGGTCATTTCCGTTGGGCCAGATTTGCTCCACCTTCCTGGAGGGCCGACATGGGAATGAGCTGCTGCTCCTCTGTGACAGGTTTGGTCACTGCTGTGGGCACCTTCCCCAGCTGTGCCTCTCCTGCTCCTCTGCAGGAACAGTGCTTCCTCTGCGCAGCTGCAGTCGTGCTCTAGAGCCCACGGGGGAGGAGTGGAAGTTGCCCAGCTGTGCTCACGAGGCTCGGCTGCAAACCCCGGGTTGATGTGAATGTCCAGATGGGTGAGCTGGCTTATTACAAAGATTTTTAGAAAAAGTAAAAGATTTCTCCTATTAAATCACTTCTTCAAAATAAACACAATACAGCCTTTAGCTATGTTGCTACTGTCACCTTTGCTAAACTGAATTCAAACTAAAACTTTTACTTGTAACTTACAGAGATCTTGGATTTTTCTTCCCTTGGCTGGCAAACAGAGACCACATACAGTACAGTATGTACTGTAGTACGCACACACCAAAAACATCACCAGAAAATCATTTTATTTCCATCAACTAAGCAATTAATTCTACTTCCACTTATTAATTAAGCAATTGTTGTCCAAGATCTATATCATGTTTAGCAACTCTTGATGTGCAAGACAAATTCCTTTAGGGCAATAAAGGTTAATTCAACCATTGTATTTACCAGCGTGTGTCTTTTAATGCCATCTGGTGGCCTCTAGTGGCCAAAATGCATCATTAAAGTCCCTTTTTAAGGCAATCTGCCCCAGACAATGGTAACCAGCCGCCTACTGACTCTCCTGGATTAATGTGAGAGCGGTAATGAATTAAGGATACAGATATTATTCTGTGAACATGGATTCTATTAACCAGGAACTGGATTTAATTCAGACCTGTTAATGACTGTTTTATGGCTCAGTGTTTCTATATACTACTAAAGTATCGTAGAACATTGTTAAAAACACAAAGACAAGAAAGGGAAGAAACATTGTCATACCTGAATTCATGAAAATATTTTCAGGTCTGGTAGTAATAGGAGCCTATCCAGGGAAACCCACAAGGCTTGTATTCAAATGAAATAAGTACTCACTGTCCTACGTCTATAAATAAAGCAAACTCCTCACTTCTGCGTGTGTCACTCTAAATGGGGGATAAAGTGGCTCCCCTCATGTATATCAAGAACTCTGGGGTGGCCAAGGCAAACAAGTCCAAACAGGAAAATCCAGAGTAGGCAAGAGTCCATAGCCAGGTAATCCATCAATGACAAAGACGACAAAAGTTAAAAGGGGTGCTGTCATTCACCTATTGCCCCTAGATCCAGTACGAGATCACAGAAAAGCTGGAGCCTGACCTGGCCAGGAAAATGTGTGAGACAGGAGGTCAGTCCATCGCAGGGAACACACAGACACTGTCACTCATACACTCACATCAGACCAATTTCACAGAGCCCAACTAACCTACCAGGATGTTTTGGATGCATGTAATTCCACACACCTGTTATCAGAATCCAGATCCAGGCACAGAAGCGCTCAGGTGGGGACAAAGACTTCTGGGTAAACTTTAAAATGTTCCAGGTGTACAGTGAGAGGCAGTGAGAGTGTGTATATATACAGTATGAGTGATACTGCAGGGAACTCTTACAAAACCGGGTCTGAGCAGGAGGCAGATCAGTGAGAGGACCTCAGAGATTCAGGACAGTTCCAGTTTAGTTAGCAACAGAGATGTTTATTTTAAAATCATTTAAAGAACTTTCTACCTTAAAAAACATCCTTCTCAAGCAGATTCCTCAATCAATCATGGTAATGTACTTTATAAACACTTGCAATAGGTATTACTTCTTATCTGTGTTTTTTTAATTATAATGGTGGTATTTTAGTGCATGAGTGGTTATTGTCTTAACATAGTAAGACAATGATATCTACAGTTTTATAATGTGAATGTGCCATGGAAATTATTTTATTTTAATTTGATTTTATCTTATTTTCTTTGGAAGTGTTAATTTTAATTTTAAATTACTGTGTCTGTGTTGTGTTCCTGTAGCTCCAGAATGCGCAGTGTGAGAACACCTTGTACCTGCTGCATGATGATGTGCTCTGTATTATTCAGGTGTATGGGGGTCTTGTCCACATCATGAACAGTAACAGGTGCAACCTTGAGATCTGTGTGGACTCTTGGCCAAACTTTAACACTGTCATCTGTAGACGTCAAAACAAGGTACAGGATGACAAGAGTGATCTGAAAATCTGCAAAGAGCAAAGACTACAAATAACTTAAATAACAGGGATTATGCTTTTACCAGAACCGTTTTCATTATTTTTGCAAAACCTGTCTTCTTACTGAGTGCTAATATGAGTTTTGTAACTGGATGCTGTAGTAGAGTGCTGGATGTGTAGCGTTAAATATGAAAAAACATTAAACTTTTTAATGTCTGATCTAAAAACCATTTTGGGAAAGAGAAATATCAGATGCAAAGTTAGTCAAAGCACAAAGCTCTTTAAATTATGATTGAGGAGTACAAAGCAATGTAGTAAGTGCATAGAAGCAAAACACAATGTAAATGACATATTATGTATAGTAGGTCTTACCACAATGTAAAAACACCCGAACATGATTTGCGCTAATTCTTCAGAACTTCTTCAGTTTTTCATGGATACCTGTGCTTTGATGTGCTGTCCAATGGGTGGAGTGGAATACAAAAAGACACATGCCAGTTTAAAGATGAGAATATCTGGAAGACACAAACAGCAAGAGGCCAGGGCCACCAGCTCTCTCCTCCTCCCTGTAAATGATTGTACATCTATCTTACTGGACATTGTGATGATCACAAACTAGAAGTGTCCTACTGATCACAGAGAAACACTGAAGGGTGATACTGGTGGAGTTTGGAGTTGGGGAGTACCTGGATCACTGTGTTATACACAGAAAGTAAGTTTAATTATGTAAGAAATTGAATGTGAATTTGAGTTTTGAAACTGATGTCTCTTTTCCCAGGACCTGACACACCATCCAGTGCAGTTCCCTAATCTGTTCACGATGTTCACGAAGGATCTTGAGAATCTGCGGGCGACGTTGATGGATGACAGGGTGATAGACTGGACACAAGACACCATTGTGAGAGGTTCTGTATCTCATTAAGTATTGTGATATGATATGCGAGGAATGACTGTGAGGGATGCAGAGCTCCCATTAGAGAAGCATGTGTTGATATCTGACTGCTGCTGAAGCAAGTCAATAAACTAACAAGACAAGTGAGGGCGTACCTGTGCAATGTCAGCTGTCCTAGCTGCCCCAGTGAGGGTCCATATAACAGTACCACTCTCGGAGGAGTATGAGCATAAGTTCAGGAAAAGTGCAAAGAAGTTAACCAAAAGGCCGTGATGGGTGTGTCAGGCACTGTGGTCCGTAAAGTAACTTCCGTGTCCTGTGGAGCCACATTATTCCTAATCCGTTAATCTCCGAAAACTGCATCTCGCCACACACACATTCACACTCTCAAGACTAGATTGCAAATGTACCTTCCTTCTACAGAAGAAGGAAACATTTACATGGTTTCCGTGTTTTCTTTTAACATTTTAAACACTAATGCACATGAACAGCTGGTAAGGTACTGTATGGAGTGTTGTGGCGCTCCTCGTTTTAACAATCAGTAATCCACTGCAAGGAATGTGCACAGTCATGGGGACCAGAGAGTACTGTTTAAATATCCAGCTGCTTTAACATACATGAAAAGCAGAATCCCATTCATGATCTGGCAGGGCTCTGTATGAATTCCCAGAAATAACTGGCATTGTTGTGGGTCTCTGTTTTTCCACATCAAGCTTTTATATTTATTTTTATTTTTGGCTATAAAAAGGTTTCATAGTTCTGGGATCCTGAGCTCATTTCCTCCGGAACACAGTATGGATCAGCACGGCCAAACATTTTGAAAAAGTAACAGGAAGAGACAAATTTTGTTTAACACTACAAGTTCTTTGCACATTGCAGTGTTGTTGTTTTTAGCTCAATGAATAAAACACAAACACACATAAAATTATGTCACATCTTCTGAAACAGTCATTTGAATTTTTCAGTCACATTTTTGATATTTGAATAATTTAATTGGAATTTGAATGTCTGGGCAGAACACTTGTCATGTGTCTGGAGTGCTACAGTGTCAATAAAATATTTGGTTAATGTTTACTGTATGCCAAAATGGGATAAAGGAGATAAATTGTTTTTTTGTGTTTCATTTACAGGTATGTATCTGCCAGAATTTGGAGGCTCTGTCAGTTTCAGTGCAAATGTATAAACATGTAAAGATATTATATTCCCTTATTGCAGTGAAAAAAACAACTGTGAAATGTCATCTACTTCTGAGTGTCATAATTATGACAACATCTAGACATTTTCCAGAATTCCAGAGTTATTTCCCATGATAAAATGAATTTTAAATAGTATGCTTTTTTAAAGGTGGCATCTCTTAGCCACAAAAATTTGCTGTAAAAACAGTGTACAACTTGTTTTTTTTTTAAAAAGGTATTCCAGGCTCTTACTGTGACTTAATAAAAGAAGTTGCTACCAGCGGAGGAATGGATGTTGAAGAATTCAGCGACTTCAAACTGATTTTTCATCAGAATCCACAGAGTATTCTACACATGGAGTGAGTGCAAGACTAGAGAGAGGATAAAGACTTGACTGGGAGGGCATGGTGGCACAGTGGTTGGCATTGCTAATTATTTGTATTATGTGAAATGTATATTCTTCTTTATTTTCTTGCCTGTTACTTACAGGAGTGACCCTACACTGAAGATCTCAAGCCTGCAGGTTTCCCATGCTGAGCTG